CAGGAGAAGAACTCCTCAGTGGCTCGAGACGTGTCCGCTCTCCATAACGCTATGGAGAATGACAGAGCCTCTCGTCAAGAACGAGAGGCTAGTCTCGCCAAGCGACTAGCCGACATCGAATATCGCACTGAAGGTATATCCGCTTACTTTTTCGTTAAGGAGGGACCTCACTACTGTTAGTGGTGTTTCCACGATAGAATTATAAGTAGTTTGAATGTGATCGGTATAAATTACACTTAAGTGCGTATAACCTTTTCGTGATTCAACTTATCATTTCTTTATCATTTCGATATCATTTATTTGATGATGGCGAATTTGGGCGATTTTAGTAGTAATGGTAGTAGCACTCATCTTAATGAAAACTCTTCATAACTATTGCTTATCACTCATAGGTAGAAGTGATTCCACTCGCGACCATTTGCTGATGCACTACTACAGTACTCCCAAGTCAAAAATGTACAACTTCTTCCGGAAAAAATGACCAAAAATTTTTAGGAAAAAGCTGGGATTTTTCAAAAAACATACCAATTTCAATCAACGACATCATTGAAAGTTTTCTCCATTCAAAAAAGCTAGAGACATTTTTTTCAAGAGAAGTGGGTGAATTATTACGAATTCGGACAAAATATTCAATAGATCTGAAAATGCTGTAGTAACTTCCCGAGCTTCCCCACAACAGCAACTCATCCTTCAGGTAGGTTAGAACAAGAGAGAGTTTCTCGTGAGACGAAACTAACGGAGTTACGTGAAACACTTATGGAGTGTAAAAGACTGCGGGAAAAGGGAGACGAGAAATTTCAAACTTTCATTCTCGACGAGGTGGCCACCATTAAGAACAATCTCGTCCTCGAAGCTCAACAACGAGAGCAGTGCGATGATGATATTGTACAAGTGAGTAACGCCGGTCTTTGCATGCCCTCAACCCTTGTGGTAGCAGGCCTTGAACCATTACACTAGAGCTTTGCAAGATGCCCTCCGACTGGTCAATTCGACTCCATGAGAATCGTGTTCTATCCGACGAAGTAGAGTTGAGTTGTTCCCGATACTGTGAACGCAACATTTACTCAAATAGTAGTGCCACGAAAGGCAGTAGTGAGTGATGAAAACAATGATGACCTAAGAGAAATTCCAAGTGGAGAAAACCCACTTCAGCTTTGAGGGCTTCAACTTATCAGAATGAATAACATCGATATAAGATATGATACAGCGATCAAGTTTCTTATTGCTATCTCTATCGATTGCTCGTATAACTACGTAACACCACTGAGTGACCATCAATGATATGCGGGTTGTTGAGCGGGTGAAGAATATTCTGAACCGCCTCATTGCTGTCAAAAGTGGCGAAGCCAAAACCCTTACTAACCCGTGTTCGGCGATCCATAATAACGACGGCCTCCAACACAGTGAACATGGGGAACCGAAAGTTGAAGTACTCCTCAAGACTGGCACTCGTGGACTCAGGCGATAAGCCTCCCACAAAAATCTTGTTCAGATTAACCATCCCAGATTGTTGTTGTTGTTGGTG